ATCTGCAGAGCCTGTTGGCCATGTGCACCTCCTGAGAAAAGTGGGACTCACATTCACACCCCTCTGTCATTCTAAACTACAAACACGTGCCTTTCATTCTATGTTCACTACATGAAACTTAGAACCAGAGCAGCAATTTCTTATGATAAACAGGAGTATCTTAAATGATAGAATTTGATTCTGTGTGTTAATAGAAAATATCTAGGAAAGGTTGTAAACACTATTCTGGAATAATATTCATGCTAGCGCTTTCTTTTAAAGAAAGTTTACAAAAATCAAACTCTTCAGATTCCTGGGACTAAGTTTAGCAACACCGCAGCCTCATATGTGAAAAAAGAGCACAGTTCATGTCTATGAACCATGCATGCTAGGAGACCAAATTCTCAGAAATAAATATGTTGAGTCTGAAATTAGTAATAACCTGTTAAAACACAGTAACAAGGAACAAAAGTAGATATGTTTCTCAAGAAAACAGTGGGATTGGGAAAAAAAAGTTATTTAAGGGATCTTTATAATTCACAGTAATAAGACTGAGAAGAAAGACTAAATTTACAAAGGAGAAGAAAAGGGAAGGAAAGAGCTATCTGATAAAGAAAATATTGAAGAAGACAAAAGGAAAAGTCATGTCATTTAGAGATAGTAGGTTTAGTCTTGGAAAAATGAGAAGATAGGCTTCCATTATCAGTTAATCAAGAGGTGATAGCTCTTCAAGATACTGATTACATTGCAGCCTTATAGCCAATAAGCCAAGATAGCCACGATATAAAGATGTACCACATGATGTCACTTATATGTGGAATTCTAAAACATCGAAACTCATAGAAATAGAGAGCAGAACGCTGATTGCCAGAGGCTAGAGAGTGGGAGAAATGGTAAGAGGTTGGACAAACAGTAAAGATTTCACTTAAGCAAGATAAATAACTTCTGGGGATTTGATATGCTGAAGTTCATTCAGTGACTCCAGAGTTTGTACCTATCTGACTCCTAGATCATGCCACCAGTTCCTTGCCATTACACACATCAAAAAAATTCAGAGCGGAACTTCAATGTTGTATCCATTGCCTAACATGTGACTAAAATATTGACATGTCAATGGATACAAAACGAGCATCGTGATCAGGGAAGAATAGCAAAATTACAATGACTGACAATTGCTAACAGTTTTAATATATTCTAGAGTCTAGGTGCTCAACACTACTTAGTATTTCCAACAACATTAGCAGTGATACTATTCTAATATCCATTTGAGAGAGAAAACTACTGCAATGTGAAAAGATTAAGTGACTTGTACAAGGCTTTATTTGACCAAACTGGCAAGGCCAGGGCTTGAATCCATAAACTCTCCTGACATATCCAGTCTCATAACCCAACACTAGTAGAGGTGAAGAGAAAGGGGGATTAAACAAATGTTTGCACAATTGCTTTTCTATTCATTCATTCATTCATTCATTATGTGGTGAGTGGTATTCATCAATTTTGGCAATAAAACATGCTAGGAGATAGTTTAGAAAAATGTGGTAACAATGAAGGGATAACAGTGTGTGAAACTGAACTTCCATGGGCCTCAGTTGAAATACTGAGCTATGTCTGAAAGTCTTTTAAAATAGACCCGGATCTTTGCATTAGATAATCCAGGATCCCGAGTATGAGACTGAAAAAACCGAGGCTAATGTTGTAAAGAAAATGAAGCTCCTGAATACCATTCCCAGGGAAGTGATGTGATCACAGTGGTTCTTTACGAAGATTGATTTTGCATTTCGATACCATGTGCATTGATGTTTTTGTTGGACTCTAATAGAAAAGGAAGCCAAGAGCCACTAATGGCATTACAGGCACAGTCAGATAGGGCCAAGGCAGGGGAAGTAACAGAGGAAATAGGAAGGAAGAAATAGATACAAGGATTATAATGCAGGAATTATTCAAATAGTGTTCTCACTTATTGTAATGTTGATAGATAGGAATCAAGGTTGAAGGCAATTACAGAACGATCAGAAATTGAAGAGAAGAATTAGAGATGTTGATCCTAGGCACATCTGACACTATTCACTTGGACATGTTCTCACCCACTAAAGGAGCTGTGATGACAGCTAATTTTTGCATTTTTATATAAACAGGGGTTCACCATGTTTATGCAGGCTGGTCTCAAACTCCTGACCTCAAGTAATGTTTGTATATTATTTTTAATTACTGAAATACTTAATTCATCAAATATTTTCTGAGAACTTAGTATATTCCAGTCACTTTGGTCAATGTTACATGTATGTGTGTATGCATATGTAAATAGATATGTGTAAATGTGTGTTTGCAAAATGTTTTGTCTCTTTCCTCAGGAAACTTATAATTTAGCAGTCAGTTGAAAGTTGAACATATAAAACCAGAATGTAAAACAATATTTAGAAAGAGAATTAAAGTCATAGGCATGCTTTTGCTTTGAGCAAAATAATCTAAATATGAGGCCAGAGAAAATATTATAAACAAAAGGCTAGAGTAAGTGTCAGCAGATCTGAAATTGGACTATGCAGCTAGAAGATGCTAGTCACTGGCCCATGTTTTGATGATGGTGTCTTTGTGCTGAAAAAAAAAAAAGGCTCTTCTTTCTCTGCAGGTGCACCATGACTGGGTGGACAGCTTGGTGAATGGTGCAGCCTCTGCAGTCAGAGTAAAAACAAACAATCATGTTTATGCCATATATTCAAAGATGGGATCCCAAGACAATAATATCTGCCTCTCATCTTCCAGAGTATACTACCTTCACTTTTGACACGTATCCCCAAACTGGAGTGTAACTCCTCTGACATCCAACTCAGACCCATTGGACGTTAGAGAGTTAGCCACTGAGCAGAGATTGAAGAATTTATGTTTTTTTAAAGGATCTATGTGCATTTATTTGCCTTTCTCCTGTAATTTGAACAAAACCTACAAATAAATTTTGGATCAAACCTGCAGCTGAAAAGACATGCAGATTAACCTGGAGATTAAGGAAACACAAAAATTATAAGAATATTTGAAAGCTTAAAACATTATTTAGATATCTTAAAATTTATATTTTCAGATATGATTTTAGTAGCTCTAAGACTTCTGTATGCATCAGTATTCTACATGTGTTTCTGAACCTTAGAGTTGTAACATAATGTAATTCATACACTCTCTAAATAATTTACAGTTATTAATTAGAGTTGAAATATATGCTGTGGCATTTATTTACAGTATTCACATATAAAAGGCCATAAAGCTGTCCTCCTGGCTCTTGCTCAGTACCATTTATGAGGCACATTATTATGTGACCTACAGTGACCTTTTTTAATTCTAGAAAATAAAGTACATTTGAATTTGACTGCCATTTGGGATTTTGGTTTTTATTTTTATTTGTATTTATTTATTTTTCAGATAGAGTCTAGCTCTGTTGCCCAGGCTGGAGTACAGTGGCATGATCTCTACTCACTGCAATCTCTGCATCCAGGGTTCAAGTGATTCTCCTTGAACCAACCAAAGCAGCTGTGATTACAGCATATTTTTGTGTTTTTGCATAAACAGGGGTTCACCATGTTGACCAGGCTTGTCTCAAACCCCTGACCTTAAGTAATCCAGCTACCTCAGCCTCCCAGAGTGCTGGGATTACAGGATTCCAGGTGTAAGCCACCATGCCCAACCCTAATTTAAGATTTTATATAAATGCTTGATTGGCATGCCAATTGAAATTCACATGTACTGCATAATTTGTCAGTCGGGTTATTTATATATAATTAGCCCATTCTCACACTGCCATGAAAAAACATCTGAGGCTGGATAACTTATAAAGGACAGAAATTTAATTGACTCATAGTTCTGCAATCTCTGGTAATTTCAAGAGAATTTCAGGGAGGCCTCAGGAAACTTACAATTATGGCAAAAGGCAAAGGAGAAGCAGGCACCTTCTACAGAGGGAGGCAGACCAGAGTGCTAGCAGAGGAAATTCCAGACATTTATAAAACCATAAGATCTAGTGAGAGTCATTCATTGGCACTAGCATAGCACAGGGAAGCTGCCCCCATGATTCAATTATCTCCATCTCATTCCACCCTTGACACACAGAGAATATAGGGATGAAAATTCAAGGTTAGATTTTGGTGGGGATGAGGAGCCAAACCATACCATACTTTTTTTCTCTCTGAAAAAATTATTCATGTTTAATTTTTTTCCAAAGTTTAAGATTATTTCCAATGTGACATGGACAAAAGAGGAAGAGAGTGATAGAGAAATTAATGTTAATGTGTCTCTAAATTTTGATGTTCCTGGAGTAGAGTTTTCAGTTATATCCTCATTGGGATTTTTTTTCTAATGATGCCTGCTTGAAATGATGTAAGTAATGGATAGATTAAAATAACACACACAAGAAGGATTTTATAGCTATTTTGAAAACACAGAAATAGTATTTCAATATCTCAACTAAACTTTTAATTTAATTGGATAATATATAAATGAAATTAGACCAAATATTTTACAGTCTTATTTAGTACATAATACTGAAATTTTTCTTGAAACTTAACTACAATTTAGTAACATAATTGTGGTGAATGCAAAGAATATACATTTCGTATTTTTACAAGACATCATTATTTATAATGGTGATGGGTAAATAATTGATTTATGTATTCTAATATTTTAACTACCCTCTTTTTTCTGTTTTATTTTTTCTCTCAAATGCACATGAAATTGTTTTCCTGCACCTCAATAAAATGTTTATGTTGTATAGAAAAAGCAGAAGTAACATATTCCCTCAATAATTGAAATGTGGTTTTCATTTTGCTGTCTACTTTCTGTGGTAATAAAAATTAACTTGTGTGTACTTTCTTGTAATTTCAAGAGAACTTTCAGGTGTTTATGTAAGTTCTGTAACTCAAACATATTAAGTGATACATGTAGCAGTTTTCCTTAGTTCCTAATTCTCGTAACACTATATCCTTAATAATGGCCATTCCCATTCCCTCAGTTATGTTTTCTTTATAATTGTTTGTCCATAGATGTGCCATCCAGTCCCTATGGAGTGAAGATCATAGAGTTGTCACAGACCACAGCCAAGGTTTCTTTCAACAAACCAGACTCCCATGGAGGTGTGCCTATTCATCACTATCAAGTGGATGTCAAAGAAGTGGCGTCAGAAATATGGAAAATAGTACGCTCCCATGGAGTTCAAAGTGAGTCAATAATTTCAAAATGGGTTGATTAATTCAAACTGATCTTCAGTATACCTGTATGATTAGCTTTTTCAATTTCCTCCAGCATTTTCTTTTCTTTTAATAAAATGGTGTTGGGATGATATTTCCTGCACCCTATTCTTCTTGATAAAAGTTCTAATACAGACAGTAGTTTCCATCTTCAGTAAAAATGAAAGAGCTTAGTAGAATCAGCAGAGTTCAATTCTGAGGACAAAAGTTACATTAAGAAAATTCTTTGGTGAAAAGACAATTGCTCACAAACTGGATATGATGGATGGATTTTATGAAATGTGTGTTCATGTTTCATTTATTAATATTTCTCTCAAAAGTAGGTGTGAAAATGAAACCGCAAAATGTAGGTGCCTTGTATACTCATGAAGCCATCTACAAAAATCTATATGACTTTATATATTTATATTTACTTTTTGTATTTTAATATTTTTATTCACTTTTACATTTCTATTAAAAAAATAAAATAATTCACAGAGTTTCTTTTTACTTATATAAAATGTCATCATCTTGTGAAAATGTAGTTTGTTTTCTCATTAGGAAAAGACAAAACTAAAGCAAGAAATAATATGAAACTATTGTCTTAGACTCTGTTGTTTAAGACACAGAACCATATTGAGTGTTCCAAAAGCATAGCATAAAATTGTTAAGAAATTAATGCTTCTTTGGTCTGTTCTATGAGGAACCTACCTTGACCCTAACACATATGTAGAGTTCAGTAAAAGCAAAAGCCTTCCTGTGAAGGGAAAAGGGAGGGAACCAATCCTGGTGAACATAGAGAGAAAGCAAATGAAATTATCCTGGTCTCCTCTGTGTTGACACCTACTGTTTTAGTTTTCACTGAGAGTAATATGGGTTTTGGATAGAAGTATCAGAAACATTAATCAGTCATTTATCATGTACCATACGCTTCAAATAATGTCCTCAAACCGATGAGTTTATATTATTTCATTGGTGAAATACTTGGATTATATTATCTGTGAAGGTCATGTGGTTCAGGAGAGATTTTTAAAGTCAATGCCCAAAAATCAATGAGTAAGTTGGACCAAGGACTATAGTTTTAAAAAAAATTTATTAACCTGGATGCCGGAATATTGTGCTATTTAATTCGTTTTGTTTTGTTTTATTAAAAGTGAGAAAAAGAAAAAGAGGATGCTAGGTGAAAAACAGAAAGAGAAAATACATTATTTCTTAAACTGTATAAAACTCAGTGTTTGTGCTCAAGGCAACCATGCAGAAAATTAATATTAAGTCTGAATTTTATAGAAATTGAACACAGCACAAAAGTGCTGCCCCACCCTAGCCCTGCCAAACCCGGGAAAAGGTTAATAGACTGTCTCTGGACTTCTTACAAAGCTGCAGCATCATGGAGAATTTATAGTGACCTTGATCTGCCCAAGTTGATCAAGGTAAAAATCCTGACATTGTACCTCACATATCCATCTGTCAGAGGCAGATTACTATGCTTACAAAACTGAAACATAACAAAGCACATTCATTACTTTAAAATGAGAAATACTGTCACAGAAATTAGAACATTCAGAGTCTATATAAGTACATATTTTACCTGTTGGCAAGTTATTTAGGACACAAAATGAGAGTCAGAAACTTGTTTGATGAATCTAGAATATGAGCTAGGGAAGTTGCATGAAAATATTTTTTTTTGAAGTGTAGAATTTTTTTTCCTGTGTCTCAAGCTGGAATGCAGTGGTGCAATCTCAGCTCACTTCAACCTCCACCTCCTGTGTTCAAGCAGTTCTCCAGCCTCAGCCTCCTGAGTAGCAGGCACCTGCCACCATGCCTGGCAAATTTTTGTATTTTTAATAGAGACAGGGTTTCACCATAATGGCCAGGCTGGTCTGGAACTCCTGACCTTGCAATCTGCCAGCCTTGGCCTCCCAAAGTGCTGGGATTACAGGTGTGAGCAACCATGCCTGGCCTGAATAGAATGTTTAATAGCCTCAGACTGGGGCAGTTTAAAGCTTGCCAATGAGAATAAAATACTCTAAAGTCTTGTGACTAGAGATTTGCCACAGTAATTTGAGGAAAATGACTGCATTAGTACTTTTTTCCTGTTTCCATTGTTAACTCATCTTCCGTAGATATGTGGATGAGTACCTTAAAATCAAGTTGCCATCATGTAGTCAAACCATTGTATGATCTCAACTTAGTGGAGTATAGACATGTATTTTAAATTTTACTGCTACTTTAAGCCCTTCTTTTTTATTCTCACTTTCAGTTATTTAATAATATATTTGTCAGGCACTATAGATATATTTTCATCTTCAAGTAACAGAAAAAAGCAGTTCAGCATTGGTGGTATAGTGGTGAGCATAGCTGCCTTCCACAATAAACAGTCAGTCCTGCACAGTTTAAAACTTATAATAATGTTTAATTTCACATTCATTGTCTCTGACCTCCATGAACGATAGACCTCAACCTGGGGAGCTTAATAGTGACACGAAATACATATTCTCTTGGGAAGGTGAAAGAGATCAAATACCTCTTATGGTTCTGGTGCTGTAGAACTCATTGGGCTGTCACTGCCACTTGCCCTCTGTGGGATGGGCATCTAAGTACCTGCCCCCTGGGGATGTGTGACTGGAGTGCAAGCACACTAGAAGGCTTTTAAGAGGCAGAATATTCTTCATGGGATGCTGTTTAGCTTGAGCTCTTTAGACACTTCCTCGCCCTTTACTTCAGCAGGATTTCCTTTAAGTGTGAATGTCTCCCACTAACTTTATGCAATATACACTAGACCAAAAGAGATGGTTTACATTCTCACTCAGCTAAGATGTAAGAAACTTCATTACTACACAGCTGATCTCTTTCTTGAGTTTTCTTTTTCCACATTTCAAAGAGACATAGTAGATGAATCCTCTATAAAAACAGAAGTCCAAACTGAGATACAAATATCAGATCTCTCTTCTCATCTCTTGTGCCAAAAAATTCAGTTTGTTCTGTTAACCTCTTGGGCTTACCTTCACTTAGTAAGGAGAAACATCACTACGCTTTCTTCTGGGTGGAAGACTTACTAGTTTCATTAGCGTTTTTTTTTTTTCACCTTTTAGTTTTCTGCTTACATGTTGGGGAGTGGGAAGGTCAGGGTGTATGGAGTTGGCTCTCAAGGCTGGTGTTGCAAACCTTATTTAGCCTCTTCTTCTTTAACCTTGCAGGAGGTGCCTGACCTCTTCTCAAATGTATACTATTTGATGTATTTTTTCTTCTCTCTATGAATTGTCTCAGTTGAAAATTCTAGCACTGCAGAAACATGCCCCCTCAGTCTCCATATAGTTTCTTATCACTGTGCTGGTGCCTATGTAATGTGATTTATTTATGCTGCATTTATACTTTATATCTCAAGTGATGGTGTGATATCATTTATATATAAAATGATGTTTAGAGAAAATGAAGTTTTTAAGGATTTCTTAGTGTAGACTCCATATTTGTATAGCAGGAATGAATATAAATACATGACTAAAAGAACAACATAAATGCAATGGGTAGCCAGGGAAAGAAGCTGAGTAATTCCATTAGGACCACTCCTAACATTGTAAGATATGTGCGTCTGGCACTTATTCTTCCATTAGGAAAGAGATGTCCTATTTTGTAAAGATATTTGTAAGAATAAAAAATGATTTTTTTATATAGATACATGAAATGTGTTACAAATAAGCATACTTATATGTACTATAAATTGGCAGCAATGATTTGATTATTGAAACATGTAGCATAGTTTTGACATGAACAGTGTATTTTAATCAAACATATTTTCATTGTGTTCCTGTGATTTCAGTGAGTCACTATATCCTTTAAAGTAACATTTCAATCTTGCTCATATTTTCCCATCTGACTGACTTAGGTCCTTTTAACACTGCCCAGAATTAATTTTTTAACCACCTATAACATGCTTTCGCAATCACTCCTGGAAGTGCTCTAACAGGAAAATTCCCTCTTCCCCCAGAATGAATGACTGCTGAGTGACACCGTGTGTGTGTTTATGTGTGTGTGTTTATTTTATTTTTTTCTTTTCCTGAGATGGAGTCTCCCTCTGTTGCCAGGCTAGAGTGCAATAGCACAGTCTCCACTCACTGCAACCTGCCACTCCTGGGTTCAAGCAATTCTCCTGCCTCAACCTCCTGAGTAGCTGGGATTACAGGCACACACCACCAAGCCCAGCTAATTTTTGTATTTTTAGTAGAGACGGGGTTTCACCATGTTGGTCAGGCTGGTCTCAATCTCTTGACCTCATGATCAGCCCTCCTTGGCCTCTGAAATTGCTGGGATTACGGCATCCAGCACCTGGCCAGAAGCAACTTTCAAACAGAAACTAAGTTTCTGTAGAACACATTGGGCTATCGCTGTCACCTGCCCTCTGTGGGATGGGCATCTAAGTACCTTCCCTTTGGGGATGTGTGCAAACACACTAGAAGGCTTTTAAGAAGCAGAATATTCTTCATGGGATGCTGTTTAGCTTGAGCCCTTTAGACACTTCCTCGCCCTTTACTTGAGCAGGATTTCTTTTATTACCACTGCGCCTGGCCAGAAGCAACTTTCAATCAGAAAATAAGGTTCAAAGTGTTTATGAGAGATTAACACATTTTTGGAAAGAGTAAAGATGAAGCAGAATTCAGCAAATGGAGTTAACTACAGTTCAGGCTCCAGTGGCATGCTGGGAGTTGTCTTTGTTTTCTTTTTTGTTTGTTTGTTTTTTAAGCTACACAACTCTGCACTGCATATAACATTACCTTGATCAAGAAACCAGGAGACTTCACTGTAATTCTTCCACTGGGCCATGCCAGAAATTTCACACATTTCTTCCAACCTCTGTTATATTGAGAAACATCAGGCTCACCACATTAATTACATGAGCAATTTATACCATGTGAGCAATTCAGTGGTTATGAATTTTCAAAGAAGTATTTATCTAATCCCCCACCAAAACTCTGTGTGTGTGTGTGTGTGTGTGT